ATGCAGAAGACACACAAATTTAATCCTTAATCTGCAAACTGAGAATAATGTGTTTACTTCCCCTTTATATAAGGTTATTAAATGGGAACCCATTACCTTCAGTCACTGCCCGTGTAAACACTGGACAGTTAGGTGAGTAGAAAGATTGATTGCCATTACAATGCCATATTTCCTTTTGCTTTCTTGTTACGGCAGCGACTGGAATTGAGCAGACTGTTATAATTCGGCAACTACTCTAACAGGGTACAGGATCTGTTGCTGCTAATGAAACAAAATGAAGTGTCAATATACACGTACGAACACACCTCTCCAAGATCGTGTGTATCAGACTACAACCAACAGGGCAGAGTTTCTGCTTCTTTAATTGGTTTTGACGTAATATGCCTACTGAGGAATTGTGAAGTGACAGAAAGTTCTATCATGTAACGCCCTCCACATCACAGATGCGATCCTCCAATGTATGGCCAAACCAAATTGGAGACCAGTTAGGTATAATGCATCTGGCTTCCACATAAATCGTGATAAGATTTTGACTCCTGGAATGTCTAAAAAACACAGAGTAAATAACTTCAAATAATCTCGGAGTTGACACGAAATTGTGGCCGGCATCGCAACTAACAGCGTCTTCAGAATATAAAACACATTCTTGAGATGATCATTCGGTTGCAATAGACGTTCTTGCTATCAGATGGATACTCACAGACATTTGTTCTCACAACGACAAAATATTTTGAAAGTACCTACTATAATTTTCATGAGCACAGAAGAGAAATGACACAGAATATCTTCTGTACTTATTTTGCATTTTCTTAAACTTTTCCAATGTCTGTTCGAAAGGAAATTTTGTGGGTTAGAAGAACAAGACTATTCCTATTAGCGTTCTTCATACCTCAAATGTCATAACATGCCAAACCAGGAGACATGTCAGACTGACTGCAGGTGCACTTTTGGTGAACGTACACTGACGACCTATACTGACACCTAATGGGAACAGACCGGGATAACACTCACTTGAAAGCTTAAATGAAAAGGTTACATTTGTCTCCGAAAAGATCGACTGGTGAACTTTATACAACTCAGTGAGTTATGTCATGTTATGCATATTTTCTTCGTATTTTAAGAAATCAGAACAGAATTTTGAAGATAAAAATGCAATATACGCTTCTTTATAATTTTTCATTTACAAACCCCAATGAAACTGAGCAACAATAAAATACTTGACAGACGCAATATATATTACGGATCACACAGATGTATTCGTACATGATATAATGGGGTATTAATGATATTCATAATAACAGTGGACTGAATTCATCTGATTCATGTATGGATCAGTGGCGGGCTCCCGTAAACATGGTAATGAACCTTTAGCCTCAGTAAAGGGCTCCGAAAGTCTTGATCAGTTGGGTCAATATTATATTCTCGAGAAGGAATCTGTTCCATGGTGAAATAAATATTGAGAACTCAGGTCTATACATGTGCAATTACGACTGTTAACAGCTACGGTACCATGTGACTCCTTATTTTAAACTTAGATCTTACAGCCATGAAATCAAGGGTTCATATCCTCTCTGAAAAAAAAAAAACAGTATGCAAGTTAAAAGCATAACTAGTGTGTAATAAAATGCGGCTCTCAACAACTGCACTTCAGAAACACACCAAAAATACACTATTAATTCCGCCAAGGATTATTTGTAACAGAAATTACTGTCGCTATAGAGCCCAGCATTTGTAAGCGTTAACACTGCAAATCGCAGTCTTTGTCGTTAGATCTGTCCACAACCACAAAAGAGCAATTCCACAGTCAATAAAAATCAATCACGATGACCTCCCCATGAAGTTCTGGAAGACACGGATCATTGTGGGTATGAAACGGCTGTTGCAGTGGGCAGCACATGATTCAGTCTAAGTTTTGTGTGAGATCTAAGGGATATTTACTGGCCTCAGGAAACTTAAATGTCAGCATACACCAACGTTCCAATCTGGAGGCAGAGCTTGAGTTTGAAAGTCAGTAGTATTATGGACTGGCTACCGCAATCTTTACTGCAGACGCTCAGCATCGGAAGAATATTTTAAAGACGCCGAGACTGGAGCATAAGAAATATCAACACATACGCACTGTTGCAGAACCGCTCGGTCGTAATTTTCATCTGTTCCCAACTTATGTAACGGAAAATATTAACGTTTCTATTGTTCCACTCTATTTTTCCTTGGATTTTTATGTTCCGGAAGGGATAGAGACTATCTCTTGTTCTGATTCTTTGATACCCCTTGAATAATCCAGTACTCAGATATGGGGAACACCGCGATTCGTTTGATGAAGCAACAGTTTTCACGCCACATACGTAATCAGAAGACGGGATTACAGTCTTCTTGGTAAGGATGGAGTGCACAAACAAGCGCAGGCAAAGCGGATTAATAAACCTACAAGCTGAAGACAGATGGGGCACAATAACTCTACAGTAGGGATCCTACTATTAAATAGGGACATGTCAGAAGTGTTTTGCTTTCTGCTTTCGAACTCAAGCTCCCATTCTCATTACATGTACCACACAACATTTGAGCGTCGTCTCTTTTGTAACGACTTCTCTCAAAAATATATATTTTTAAATTATTTATCATATATTTTCAACCAATACGTAACTTGATATTTAATATATATCTGGTCACTTCCACACTTAAAAAATATATAAAGAAGTACCGGTATTAATTCCAACATACTGTTCTCATACTGGCGCCAATAATACTAACCGTTTGTGACGTAGCAATATCAAAATAAATATCCTTCCCCTAAGTAACTACATACAGCAAGAGTCTGTCTTTACCCCATCCTGAACAAAGCACCAACAAACGTATTACTGTGTTCCTTGATCATTACTAGTCGTTACATAAACCGACTGGTGTCGAATGGTCCTTTTCTATTTCTTGTTTAATTTTAATTGAGGAAGGTTCATCCAGTTAAACCGATGTTGCAAATCTCTTCTCCCTTTCATACTTAACTACAAGGCGTTATGGCTGCAATGACACAAACAAAGGACATTCTCCTTTGAATACTGTCATCAAATTCCAATTGTTTGTTTCACTGTCCGATAAAAAAGCGGTTGGAAATGCATTTATTTCCAAAAAAACGAGATGTAGTTATTTCAACAAGTTTACAATTTACATCTTCGTATGGGATGTGAGAGGGCCTCTCTGTTATTAGGGAAGAGATTGCTACACCGACTAATTAGACAAACCCAATATAATGAAGGCTGGACAGGCTGAGGGATGGAGACTGTAATGGATGCGTCATGCGCAGTGATGAATAAATGTTACCAATTGTTGCGGTCAAAATTACCGCTTCGGGAGAACATGTAATCGAAACTAACTTTGAGAGAAAACAAAATAAGAATTCATACTTCAGAGGTTGGAGGTATTCTGAACCCAGTGTTTGGTTAATTTTTCAGTTCTTTTAACAAGGCCTTATCACCTGCAGAGGTTTCACAGCGTCCAGTGAAGAATTAAAAGATGGTCCTGATTTATGATTTAGAAAGACAGTTTGTCAATTAATTATTACATAGGCAGTCAAAGGTACAGGCAACGTAAATAAATATTTCGGGAAGATGTTCTGGAATTTTGATTTCTGATTTTATTACAAAGCCTTACATTCCTATTTGGCTACCACTCGTCCACACAACTAATAATGCGGGGAGGGGGGGGCTGGTAAGTTAGGCCAGGGCGCTACATACACATGTCACAAGATACCAAAATTATTTAAAAAATTCTTAAATGAGAACTCAGTGTTAGCAGTGTTAGTAACTTTACGTGTTAAGAGGGCTAGAACCATTCTGGTAAAACTCATGTACACAGTACGCAGTAAAAGAAAAAGTAAAGCTATCCCCGTAACAGGCAGTGGAGGCCCATAGGGTAGTAAGACATCGAGGCTCCCACATATTCTAGACAATCGGCTCAGAGGTGGCGGTGAGGTCAGTCCTATGTGCCGGCCGCCCTTTATCCAGAGGAATATTCCTGGTACTCATTTCTGTTAGAAGCTGATTCGACCCCAGGGCCATAGTGAGCCTGAAAGGATTAGGTAATTTGAAAAATCCACCTCATCGGGATTCGATCTTGCGACTTTCCGGCTTGTAGCATAGTTCATATAGGAGTGCCTTGTTAAAACGTTTGTGCATAATATTAATTTGGTTAATAAAGGTTAATTAAAGCCATTCTTTGACAGGAATGCCTAGTTACCATCATATATTTTTATTTGCATATCCAGCAAATGTTTCGGATAAAAATCACACCTAGATATTATGGAGACAGACATTTTATACTATGTAAATGTTTATTTTAACATGAACCTTCTGAGAAATCCGGCAACATTTTGTTATAATCTATAGAACATTTATCATCTCCGTTGTCTTCTCTTGGACGCATGGAATTTTAATCAAATGCGGTGACACACATGACAACACAGGCTCGGTTAACCACTAAGTACCTGCACAACAAAAGGAGCGTTCATGCAGGAAACACTGGATTCAGAATTTTTGACTTGCCAATAACAGTGGCTCCATCCCTAAGTTTATACTTATGTTGACTATAAAGCCTCCCTCACATGACAGCCATTACATTTCGGTCTAAGGGGAGCTTCTACGTCCTACCCTAACACCTTTACCTGTATCAAATCAAATCATTCTCAGATGCATCTAAGCAAACATAAACCTTACACTTACGAAATCTGGTACGCATAATGTTCACGATTCTCTGCACCTGCTGATTCTCTTTACAGCGATTTACTTTTAAATATATTGTGACATGTTGCGCAACGGAGGACCCATCCCTCCCCAGCGGTACGTGGCGGTATCATAGTGCTGTCGTTACACTATGGTAATAGGCAAGTCAACACCCCGCCCCTCACCCCCCGCGGTGACGTAACGCGGCGTCAGGCAACAGCGGTACCCATTACGTAACAGGTAAACACTGCGACTATATAAGAGAACTGCACTGCCTACGAAGCCAGTTAAAATTTAGCAGCCGCCGAAGACAGTTCTCAAGGCAGCAGTCTACAGTTGAGTTGGAATCTAGCCAGCGGCGAGTTACGATTTGGCCAGAGAAGAGTATGCAGTCTAGTAATTGTAATACTGCCGATAGCAGTAGCTGGGAGATTGTAATTTGTAATTATATGAGCGATTGTGAAATAAAATTCGCCATATCCAATACGGCGTGAAGTTATTTGTCGCGTTATACACCCAACACGTGACAACATTTTAATAATAATTTATAGAAAAATTATGTTTACAAAAATTATTAGAAACATATTACGAGAGTATCGCTGTATAAACGTCAGTAGATACATGAACCCTCAACTACTACGCATGCGCAAAATTTCGTAATAGCAGAGCTTAGAGAAACGCACATAAACTGATAAAATTAACATCGCGAGGACAGGACTGAAACGCCCCTTTAACAGCTTCACTGTTAGGCCTGCAGACAAAAGTTAATAACGCAAAGTTTCGTCTGCCTGTATATGCATAAAATAATACGGGGCATAATTTTGTTCCATTATATTATTAATAGGATAGAAATGTTCTGATAAGTGGTCTATACGTCAAAAGTGAAAATTTTCCGGAATCTGATAACTTCAGATCTAAGATAACTGGCTGCCTTCAACCTGACATACCAGAATATTCTAATACAGACCGACAAAAACTTTCGACTGCTTCGATAAGGAGCAGCTGCTTATATGAAAGAGGCTTTATACCACACTTGCAGTTCGCATGGCCAACTATGACTAGTCAGTTCAGTGGCGTTTCATGTGAAGAGATAGATGATCGGATCTGGAGAAGGAGCGCTGACATAAATGGCACTTAAACGGTTTTTGTCCTGTGTGTTTCCTGTAGTGGCGTGTCAACTCGTCGGAGCGCGCGAACTTCCACGTACAGCCCTCCCATGTGCACTGATACGGCTTCTCTCCTGCAACACACAAGAATTACGATTCAGAAAGAGTTTCATTCCAATTTAAGAAAAAATGAACTAAGGAGGGTAAGTCAACATAATGCGGATATCCACGATTCTCGGAAGGATCGTGACAACATTGATTCCATACACAAATATTATATTCGATATCGTCAATTTTTTTCAAGTACATAGGCCTATGGTAAACAGAATTCTTCAACATTAGATGTCATGGGTGAAAGGATATACTCAGCTTGGCACATCAAAAAGAGCTCCGGTGATCCCGACTGTAGCTCCCTAACGAGCTCCGCTGAGTAAAATACCCTTCCGGGTATATCAAATACATCCAAAACAAAGGGTACTATCCAATACAGCTTTCGTATAAAGAGGGGATACATGTTTTGTACTCTTCAAATAATATTATTCGGATGACTGAATGAAGGGATGACATGCAAGAAGCGTGAAACACCCACGGAGGGATGGAATCCTCAGGGTAAATCCAGTGTCAGGCTCATGGCAACAATAAATCTTCTGGTTCCACAAAAGGCGGAATTTCTTGGTCGGTTAAGCGGCTCTAAGCTTCTTAAGATGGACTCCTCCATGAAGTGAGCGAGCTTGTGAACATCTGCATGCACACGGAGGTTCCTACGAAACGTCTTATTTGCATAAGGTGTCGGAACGCAAACTAACTTGAATTTACTCTCAGCAGTACCCGAGCTCAGGCAGCCAGAGGCCGACTTCCCCAAGATACGCCACTGGTGGATATCAGAGCAGTTCGAATGGGTCTCTCTCCGCATACCAATAATAACGGAATAAACAAAATGCTGGAACATCTCATCTAGAAGTTAGCGATTAAACCAGGCACAAATTAATAACGACAAACGTTACTGGAATACAATATGGATCATCATTTCCGTGCTTCCCCTGAAGTGTCCCTTCGCACAGCTAACATGCACAACTCCGGGTCTCATTCGGGCTTCACTTATCTCTTGGCTGGACTCAAGAGTACAATCTGAAGGATATCGCTAGCTACTGAGATCACAGATGAGTGCAATTCGCTCCAGTACAACTGTGAAGTGTGGGAATTGGTACCTTCCTATTTGTAATTACAGTGGATTCCGGTTAACTGGGAGTACTTTGTCCCAAATATACGAAGTTGCAGGCAAGGGTTTAAAAAGGTATACACTATGTACTGTACATCATCATCATCATCATCA